AAGGTTGGGCAATCCTACTTCCGTAGTGATACTGCCTTGGAAACCCAAGGAGGGGTCGCTATGAGTCAGGGCTGACTCGACGGCACATAACAACAACAATGTTCAAAATATTTATTAATTTACACTGTGATTTCTTCTCTGACCTATTCAATAGTATAATGCTTTATTTCTAAATATACAGAGATTTTATAGTTCTCTTTTTATTACTGATTTCTAGTTTTAGTCCATTATAGTCAGAGAGTATTTGTTTTCAGTAATTTGAAATTTGTGGCTCAGCAGATGATCAATTTTAGAAATTGTTCCATGTGCACTTTAAAGTAGTGTGTATTTTGCAGATGTTGAGTGCAGTGTTCTATATGTGTCAATTAGTTTTAAATTTGTGCTGTTCTATATCCTTACTGATTTTTTATTCATTTGTTTTACGCTCTCATTTACTAACAGGTGTGTTACATTTTCCCATTATGATTGTAGAGTCATCTTTTTTTCCTGTATAGTTGTCAATTTTTCCTTTACATATTTGAGCCTGTACTATTAAGTGCCTACAAATGTACAAATATTTATCTGTCTGGTGGGGGTTGAATCTTTTATTTTGATGAAATGTACTTCTGTTTAGTAATACTTCTTGCTTAAAATAGATTTTGATAGTAATATAGAAGCAGTTTACTTTTGGTTAATGTTTTAATGGCATGTCTTTTTCTTGTCTCTCACTTTCAACCTCCCATATCCTTCTATGTCTCATGAATGTAAATGACAGTTGTTTACTTTTCTCTTTAATCCATCCTGACAATGTCTGTCTTCTAATCAGATCCTTTAGTCTACTATTTAATTACATTAGGGTTCATTTATACCATCTTACTATCTCTGAATCCTATTTGCCCCATTTGTGCCAGGTTCCTGTTTTTCCTTCCCTTTCCTTTCTTTTATTTACTTATTTTTTAAATCCCATTTCTCCCCCTCTATTAGGTAACTACTTAAACATCTTTCAATGGTAGGGATATAGTGCCCGATATAGTAGCTACTAGCCACATGTAGCTATTCAAATGTAAAGTTCCAATACATATTATTGTACACTTTAGCTTTAGTAATATGATGACAGCTAAGTTAATATAATTAAAAATAATACAACAGCTTATTTAATCTTCATGACAACTCTTTTATAAAGAAACTGAGATGCAAGGAGGGTAAATAAATTACCCAAGCTTTTAAGTGACAGAGACTGGATCGGTTTTTAAAGGCTGTGCCTTAAGCATTTACACTTACATGATATTTTCCACGGATTTGGGCTTAATAAAAATGGAGATTGGGTAAAGTTGTGCAATCTGTAATCTCTTTATGGCATTTCCAGAAACATCAAGGATACAGTGTTTGCCCTAAAATAGGGGAAAAAAAGAAGAAAAACATATGAACCAAGTCTTTTCAATTTTATCAAAGATACATTTATTATAGGTACAAAATCTGGACAATGATATGTTTGGATCCTTGTTCACTTTATGGAAGTTGGTCGTTTCTGTTAGCAAATTTTAGGAGGGGAAATAAAATGAAGACAATGAATAATGATTATGAATAATTAATTAACCATTCTCAGATAAATAGTAAATTTAAAAAGGAATGAAAACACACTTCCCATATTCCTAGATTTCACAGACCAGTAAATAATCTCTCAAAATTGATTTTGGTGATGAACATAGTACTACTACCTTTTATCTTGCCAAGAATGGATATTATTTAAAAAAGGACCCCGAACTATCATCTCACCATGACCATTATTTCATAAAAGCATAGATGATCAGCAAGAAGGAAAAAGAAAAAAAGAAAGAAAAAAAAGGAGTATCTTTTAAACTGAATAAAGTTAAAGAAAAAAAATTCACTACCACTACTGTATTTCTCATTTTGCTGTGGACAGGTGAAAACTTCACAATAAATCCAGTTCTGCATTATAGTGACAACTACTCTGACATGCTTAATTCACTGACAAAGGCCACTTAAGTTTTTAATACAGATGAGCATTTCCAAGTTAAATAATTTATCAAACAGATTTTATTATATCATTTTAAATTAGGTCCTCCTCCATAATGCATTTTCTAATCTAAGGACCTGAGTCCACACCAATGAATGGTAATTTCAACTTAGTTGTTGTTAGGTGCCATCAAGTCAGTTTAGACTCATTAACAAGCTTATGTACAACAGAACGAAATACTGCCAGGTCCTGCACCACTCTCAAAATCATTGGCATGTTTGAGCCCATCGTTGTAGCCACATGTCAATCTATTTCCTTGAGGGTCTTCTCTTTTGTTGCTGCCCCTCTTGCTGTACCTAGCATGGTATCTTTCTCCAGGGACTGGTCCCTTCTGACAACACGACCAAAGCATGTGAGATGAAGTCCAGCCATTCTCACTTCTGAGAGTATTCTGGCAGTACTTCCTCAAGACAAATTTGTTTGTTCTTCTAGCAGTCCATGGTATAATATATATTCTTCGCCAACACCACAACTCAATTGCATCAGTTCTGTGGTCTTTATTATTCATTGTCTGGCTCTCACATTGCATATGAGATTACTGAAAGTTATCATGGCTTGGGTCAAGCTCAACTTAATCTTCAAAGTGACATCTTAGCCCTTAAAACACTTTTTTCAAAAATTGTAATTCAAGTAAAAGTTTATATAGCAAATGTGTTTTCCATGCAACAGTCCACATACATTTTATTTTGTGACACTGATTGCAGTCTCTACAATGTAACAGCCCTCTTTCCACTTTTTCCCTGTGGTTATCTTTTCTCTGTGTCCGTCTTTTCTAGGCATTTCTGCCTTCTGAGTATTCTCCCTATGCAAATGCTGTTTTTCTGATCTCCCATGGTTGACAGTTCTAAGGAGTACACCTTCCAGGTGTAACTGTTCACTTTGTAGACCTGTCTCTTATTCATCTGAAGGTTAAGCCCCAGGAGTGATTTCAGTTCCAGGCATGAAGGGTGACTAGAGGCCATAGTCTCCAGGTTTTCAAGTCTCTACTAGATCAGCAAGCCTGGTTTTTATATGATTTTGAGTTTTGTTCCATTTTTTTCTCCTAACTCTATCCAGGATCTCCAACTTTGATCATTTTTGGAGTGACTGGCAGTAGTAGCCAGGTACCATCTAGTTCTTCTGGTCTTAGGGTCATATAGGCTGAGGTTCCCATGGTTCACTAGTCCCCTGTACTAACTGCTTCCATGTGTCTTTGATTTTCTTCACTCTTCTTCGCTCCGGACAAGGAGAGACTAATAGTTCATCTTAGATGGCCTCTAGGGAGCTTTTAACACCCCAGTCGATATTCACCAAAGTGGATGTAGAACAATGTTACTGTGTACTGTTATGCCAATTGAGTTTGAGGTCCCCCAAGATCATGGGCGTGAGCCCTCAGGTCAGTGGCTCATTCCCTCAAGGTGTTTGGTTGTGCCCTGTTTGCTCTATTATATATATGGATGTTTTTATAGCACATATAAGTATGCATGTAGAAATATCATCTACCAAACCTATAGAAATATCATTTGTCATGGGTATATTCCTGTTCAACTACCCATATCCAGT